AATGCCCTGTCAAATAAATCCTCAGGAACTAAAAAGAACAAATTCCCCGTTCTATGTGATCGGAGAGAATGGAGACAGGTTTCAGCTGACCGCCTGGCTTGGTGCCCATGGCACAGGAAAACCAAGCTGCCAAGCATCTCTTGGCAGCGCTTTCTAGTGCTCAGAGATTCTCTGTGCGTGACAGATGAGCTTCCCATGTGAGCTTTGCACATTTATATCCACTGATGCTTTGGGTTCCATAAATACTGCTTTTACATTCTGATGGTGATACATTAGTATATGTTACGAAGTGTTTGAGCCTTGGCTCGATTTTCTGTTTAGTAAGCTTGTAGTGCTAACAGTGGAAAGAAACCGTGGTGTGTATGAACATGCTTGCATGCATGAGCACATGTGCATGTGTGTCCGTGCACATGTATGTGCATATGCGATTGCGGAGTGATGAGTGCTTTTCCCTAGAAGTTATAAAACCCTTGGCATTCAGGGACGAATCAGGAAAGAGATGGCATATTCAAATGAGAGCCCCTTAGGGAGGGTTTCTCTGCAAAGTGAGGTTTTAGAAGATGTGGGAGTGGGCAGAAAGTGTCCGGAAGAGATCCCAGTGGGGAGGGAAGGAAGGGCTGATGTGACCTGGAAGGGGAGGCATATGGGAAAGCCCTTCAGAGTGACCTTCAGGGCAGAGGTGCAGGTGGCCAGGCACCTGACCCAAGGCTTCTCACTCTCTCCTGTTCCCCTTCTTTCTGATCACTGATTCCCCACTGACTGACCTTGATCAGAAGCCAGAGTTGGGAGGGCAACAAATCCTTTGTTTTGGCTTCTAGAGACTAAACACGACCTGGTTGGAAGGCATCTGAAAGGCCTCTGAGCATTCTCGTTGTCTGTGTCCAGTTATTGCTGACAGAGGCCTAAGAATCCACAGAAAATGTACTTTCACTTTTAAAATAAAAATATTTATTGGCATATGATTAACATGCAATTAGCTGTACATACTTTAAACATACAGCTTGATATATTTTGATATTTATATCCACGTGTGAAACCATGATAGTGAGTTTATCATACTTTAACATTTAAGATAGTCCATGTGGCTCTCAAATGAAATTATGGAAAGATATCATGGACTCAAGCCATAATAACCACAATTTCAAAAGTGTTGGCTCTGACAAAACACACAAAAAATAAAATCCAAAGTTCATGACGAGTGTAAAGATAAAGCTCAGTGGCAGAGCATTTGCCCAGCAGGCACAGAATCATGGTTCCTCCTCAGTCTGCAAACTAGTGATTTCCACACAAAAATAGCAAAAATGATACACTTGGTGGAACAGCCCTGTAATCCCAGTTGTTCAGGAGGCTGAGGCAAGAAGGTCACACACTCGAGGCCAGCCTGGGATACGGAGTGAGTTTCCCGAGCAATTCAGTGAAACCCTGTCTTAAAACATTAAAAGAGGGCTGAGCGTGTAGCTCAGTGGAAGAACATGTACAAGGCTCTGTGTTCAATCCCAGCTTCTCACATTCTCTCAGGACTTGGGAGAAAACTCTTTCATTGGAGTTCATAGTAAAAAAGAAAATGAAACTTTATAAGTTTGAACTTTTTTTTGTCTAAATTTTGCATTTGTTTATTGATGAAACTAAGCTTAAACATTTTTTGTCTGAATTTTACATTTGTTTATTGCCAAATATTTAAAACAAAACCTTGAAAACAAATGGCTTTAGCAACTAAGAATGTTTGCTGCTCTTTCGGAGAACCTGAGTTCAGATCCCAGCACTCGGAGCTGGCTGCTCCCTGCTGCCTGTAGCTCCAGCTCCAGGGACTCCGACACTGCCTTCTGGCCTCTGTAACCACTGCACTCATGTTCCCAGGCGCCTCCCTCCACATGTAGATATAATTTAAAAATAATGAAATTAACACTGATCCAAATGTAAGTCTGTGGATCTATGTGGTCCGAGTAGTTAGCAGTTGAAGGTTTGAGAAAGTCAGTGCTCATTGTGTATTTATTTATTTAGTTCCAGTGGGAGCGGAACCGCCAGGGTGAAGCTCCAGTGTGCACTGTGTATAATAGTCATCTGCAAAACACAGTCCAGGGGGCTGGAGAGATGGCTCAGAGGTTAAGAGCATTGCCTGCTCTTCCAAAGGTCCTGAGTTCAATTCACAGCAACCATGTAGTGGCTCACAACCATCTGTAATGGGGTCTGGTGCCCTCTTCTGGCCTGCAGGCATATACACAGAGACTATTGTATACATAATAAATAAATAAATAATTAAAAAAAAAACACAGTCCAGGAAATCGGCTCAAGAGTAGCCGAAAGAGTCCCGTAAAGCCTTGGTCCTCAAGGAAGCAGAGCGTTGGGAGGTGTGATGGGTGAACTTGATGGCTAGCTTGATAATACCGGTGGGTGAAGAGGGAGCCCCTATTGACTAGCTGCACCCATCGGCTTGGCCTGTGGGCATGTCTCTGAGGGTGTTTTCTTGGTTGCTAACTGATGTCACATGGGCCATCTTACCTTGGGCAGTGTCATCGTTAGGCAGGCGGGCCCCTCCTCTCTAAGAAAGGCAGCTGAGGACGCCGGAGAAACAGCCAGTCAGCAGTGTTCCCCCGTGGTCTCCACTTCAGCTCCTGCCTCCAAGTTCCCAGCATCACTGTGTGACGGGCAGCAGTCAATCTGCGAGCAAAATAAACTCTTTTCTCGTGCTGGGTGGGCTGGTCAGTGTTTTAGCTCGCCAGCAGAGAAGCACACTAGGACAGGAGGGGAGAGGTGTTATTGATAACTGCTCAGACCGGTTACCATCGCCATTGTTGGATATTTAATGTGCGCTTGGCATTATGTATCCCTTCATTAATCTTGCCCAGTCCACAGGAAGTAGATACTGTTGCGCTCCCTCCTTTACAGATGAAGATACCCTTACAAATATCGAGACTGAAAGAAGTCAAAGAAGTCATTATCTTACTGTCTGAAGGTCACAGTTTGTCAGTGATAGGGCCATGACGGAGTTGGGTTCCTGCTTTATCCTATTCTGCAGCATGTCTATTATGTAGCATGTCGATCACCTGCAAACACATTTGAAGAATTATTAGCAGCAAGTTGCTTGATACCCACTTTTAGTGGACCAGGGTGCCGAAGTCCTCCCTGGGTTGTGAGCTGACAGCCATAGCCTTCCCTGTCCTCAGAGTCCTGTGTAGCTAAGGCGTTGGTTCTCAACCTGTGGGTCGAGACCCCTCTGGGGTGGCCTTTCAGATATTCTGCACACTAGATACTTACATTATAATTCATAACAGCAGCAAAATGATTGTTATGAGGTAGCAATGCAGATAATTTTCTGGTTGGGGGGTCACCACAGCATGAGGAACTGTGTTAAAGGGTCGCAGCACTGGGAAGGTTGAGGGCCACTGCTTTGAGGAAACACAGGCTCTTCTAGTGCTAGGGAAGGCCAGGGCCGGTGAAGGAGTACTTCATCCATCCTCGGGTATGGTAGCATCTAACAGCACAAGAGCTCGGCCCAGGTCCCTAGGCTTCTGTTCGTTGGCTTTCAAGTGCCACGGGCAAGTCCAGAGTGCTCTCACAATCCAGAACAGGGGTGGTGTTAGTTCTGTTCGTGTGCAGCTGACTTCTCACGCAAATCTTCAGAGATTCAGGGACTTGTTCTTTGGCCACCTATCCCATGTCACCTGTCACTTTCTCTCCTATGCTTCTTCAGAACAATGGTCCTTATCACACAGTAGAGTCCAACGTTAAACTCTTTGGTCTTAGGGTATCTGCTCTTGCTTAAAAAAATTATTGAGGACCAAAAGAGTAAATGCACAAATTACACCATTTGCAATTTACTATAGCAGAAATGAGAATGCATTTATTCATGAAAATGGCAATAATGGGCCCTTTATATGTTATCAAAAGCAAAGAATGAGAAAAAGAATGTGCTTTCTTCATCAGCAATGAAGCTTAGCATTGTTTGATTTTTTTTTTTAAATGGCTTCTGTTCATAAAAGATAGCTAGGTTGTTGACCAGTTTCTGCCATCTGATCTATATGACCTCAATATGTTATTTAGGTAAAAGTTGATGAAGAAAGTCTGACCTCATAAAGGCTTCTAGTTCCCCTTCTTTTGAAAAAGGGAGAGAGAGTTTCATTTATAGACAGCATCCAGTTGATCATGGTTCACCTTAGTACTTTTCACCTTTATAACAGTTCAGAAGCCAAGTCCACATAGTCACGCTGTTCACTACCGGTGTGACAGTCATTAAATCCTGGGAACCGGCTAGCATGCTGCTGTAAAGCAGGCGTTGTGTGTAAGTGCTGAGGATATATAAGGTGGCTTAGTCTAGGTTGCAATATCCTCCAGGTTAGCTTTATTAAATGCATCTTGCAACTTATGATCATTTCAATTTGTGAAGGATTTATTAGGATTGTATTCCAATTAAAATCCAAGGAACTTCTGAAATTATAAAAATTACATTTTTACTGTTCTAAAACCAAACAAGTCTTTGTCTCTTAATACAGTATGCTGTGTGGACCCTGTGCCCTGGGAATTCTTTCGTAAGCCATTCCAAAGTGGCAGTCAGTGGAATGTTTTCTTGAAAGGATAAGTGTCTTTCCGGATTATGGTTTATGTAAAGTCCAATAAGAATCATGAACCATTAGTTTCATTGTACCATTAAATAAGCCTTTTAAAAAAATCATCAAGTCCTCCAAGAATCGAAATGCCCCTTCTAATCAGATTTTAACTTCTCACCTGCAGTGGGATTCGAATCCTTTTCCTTGAGAGACTAAATTACCGGTTCCTGACATACTGTCTTGATCAATATTTGTTGAAAATATTGGTTTGTGGTAATGCTTTTCATTCATACATCCAATTCCTATCTGTGTCCACTACCTTATTGCACCACTGGGGAAACTGCCTTTCAGAATAAACCTGGACATCCAGATCCCATAACTTAGGTGGCTGCTGTATCCACTTCTTCACAGCGTTTTCAGGGCATTAATCCCTGCTTCTGTGTTTGTCTCTTTAAGATCCATATGGGCTTACAGCATTACCTCATCAAGACCTGTCAGCCCAGCTGTGTTCCCCTGGATGAAAAACTCCTGCCCCAGCTCCTAAAGGAAGCAGGCTATGCTACGCATATGGTCGGAAAATGGCACCTGGGAATGCGCCAGAAAGAATGTCTGCCAACACGCCGAGGATTCGATACCTACTTCGGTAATGGAAATTCACGTTTCTTTAACAACACAGACCTACTACATCCCACTCATAAAACACACCCAAGTGCTATCAAACACAATGACTGGAAACTTGAACATAGGGTAAATCAGCCAGCACCATAGTGGGGCTGCTTTCTGATGGTCCCTTCATAAGCCAGCTCTGTGCTGAACACTGGGTGGACCTTTGCCAGAGCCCTAAGGGACAGCCTTAGGGGACCACTCAGAGACCACTGTCCACTCTGTAGGGTCATCCTGAAGATGATGGGGCAACGCTCTGTGGAACTAGAGGCAGACTTTGTGCTTCCTTACCTAAAGTTCACATGTTTTTCTCCCCATGGCCTGGGTTCAAAGGCCCCTCTTCTTGGGGGTGGCCTGGGTTCAA